AATGTGGTTTCAATTCAAATCATTGTGAAACTAAGCCTATTGTTATACGAAAAATACTGTAAAAATTAAATAAAAATGAAATTTAGACAAAGAAAGCCTTTAGCAGAGTTAAGCATTACAGAAATTAAGTAGTATGGCAAAAACAGTTGACACTATTATAACCACAGATCATAAAGTATCATATTTTTAATGGTCAAGTCACTTTTGAATGATGGATTACTGAGATGGGTTTAAGTGTTGGAAAAAGTTTGCTAATCAAGCTTAGAAAACAGTATAGAGATGGTAAGAAAAATGTCTTTTACCTCTTTCTTTATACATTGCATTTTACCACTAACCTAACAAGAAAAAACATTCAGGTTTATAGTATCTCTTTTAAATTTCAATAACTTGAAATGAAATTTGAAATACCATTTTTTCATCAGACTGGTCTTTATCTTCATGTTGATGTGCGTTAGCATCTTTTTAATTATTCTAATATAAGAACATCAATGATTTAAAATAGGTACTAAAATTAGTTCCATTACAAGTTTCAGAAAATTAATCTGTGTTAAAATTTTTTTCCACGAATTTTTTAAATATATATCTATATATATAATATATATATATTAATATAGATATATATATGATATATATAATTTTATCTTCACTTCAGTATCCATAGAGTCTGTCTCAAATGTCTTGCTACCTACAAGGACATGTTTTGCCCATAATTTGCTTTTTGTCATTCAGCCCTCAGTTTCTAATGCAGGCTAACTGTTCAGTCACTATGTAAAACTAATAATTTGTCACAAAGTAGAAATGAGATTCAGTTTACATGAGTTTATTTCATTTCCATCTAAAAAGCATTTTACCTGAATGAGGACAGTTGTAAAAACAGGAAAGTGTGGAGTAAAAGTTAGTTAAGTTAAGTAGAAGCCATTACTTATGGGAACCTTTTTTTGTTTTCAATGAAGAAAGCAATAAAATATCCAGAAAAATTCCCAAAGTCATTTAAACTTCTTCAGCTGTGTAAAACTGCTAATAAATACAGTGATTTAAAGTAACAATCCAGAGGAATATGCTAAAACAAAATACCTGAGAAATGTGATTATTTCTCAGTAATGCTGTTGTAAGCATTCTAATGATCACTTTTGTGTTTTCAGTTTTAAAAATGAAATGATAGCCAAACTAATATGTGTGAAGTGGGAGAGGAGACGAAACACTTATTAAAGATATGTTCTAAAATAATAACCATCTCTGTAGCCACATGCTACAATGCGAAAACAGGAATGACTTTCATGCATTAAGAACTTTTACGCTTTTTGTGCAATCACTATAACATTTTATGTTGAAAGATGCATTTGTTCATTTTATTGTGATAAATTCTTTGAAAAAATCATTTTAGGTCATTGCAGGCTCTCAAATAAACAATTATAAGTAATGAAACACTCATGTTTTCAATTTACATAGATTAATGTTATTGAGTTAAGTTGAAATCTTATTGAATGTAATCTGTGATATATCATTCAGAATGTTTTATTGTTTACATAATGCTATTTACTTGAAAATCTTATTGAGTATTGTTCAGTTTCCAGAAAAATTGCAGTGCAATTTAAGAAATTCCCTTCTATCTGAAAAGTTGTTCTCCTCACTTCTTTTATTGGGCTTAACCAATTATTAATTTTAATATTTATTTATTATTTTCATGTGCAATTTAAGCAGGGTGAAGTTTGTGAAAACAGTTACACGTTTGATGAGATGTTGTGGAAATATCGACTATCACCTGATGAAAATTAAAGAAAACCGTATGAGCTGTACATTAATCGTAGTAAGTAGTCTAAACGTTTTCTTTTGTGAATTTTAGATATATAGAAAATTATCACCAAACCAGGAGTACCCTTTGCCAAGAACCTGTTATTGTATGAACATGTGCGTTCTTTAGTTGTTATCTACTCTCTCAAGAATAGAATTGCCGAGTGCATATTCTTTCCCCAGGTCTATTTCTTCTTTACAAAAATAATAACTCTCTTCTAACTGTCTATATGAAATAGTTTTCTTTTTAGAGAACTCCTGAACATAGTTGATTGTAAGTTGTCCTTATTCATATTCCAATATAAGTTATCTGAATTATTATCAGTCACATACAATTATTAGAGGTGTGATTCTGTTATGTGCACGGAATGCTTGCAAGGAACTTCAACAATATGGGGGAGAAGTGAAGTTGCATATTATATAAAATTCCACCTTTCTCGCATCACAATTGAAAACGCATTGATTAGTGTGGTAAAACATAAAGCAGGAATCAGCACATGTGCCACAAGTTCTGCAAAAAGTCCTCCAATTTTATTTATTTCAGAAAGGGTATAAGAACTAGATTGCTGTATTATGAATTCTGAAAATTTCTGATGATTAGAATTCTGATGCAAACTTAGCTATTGTTTGTAATAAAAATGATTAATTAATATAGAATGCGCATCTCAGGCCAAGAAGGAATTGGTTGAGGGGTTCTAAAAGAGTCATTATATTTTATAGTGCCCACAATATAATTAATTGAGTGTAAGAATGAAGCGAAGAGGATAATAAACATTGTGTTACAAAGCCTATTCTGACAATATCTTCAAGCCAGATGATATATTACATATGTGACAATTTGATAGTGGAAGCATAAAAACCAAATTGCGCATCTAAATTATAAATCATAATACTCTCACTTATCTTCAGTTGATCCCCAAAATTCTATTCTCAAAATAATTTATTTTTCCATTTGTATTATTTATGAGATTAAAATAAGCTTTAAAAGAGAGAAATATAGCAATGGAAGCAGTGATAAATATTTATAGCAGTAGGAATTGCCAAAGCTAAAAGAACACCTTAAGAAAATGCATTGTGCACGTGCTCATTTAACTCAACTTCCATGATCATATGCTAATGTGTCTGTATAAACAAATTCCTTATATTCTTTAGTAATTTTCCTTAGTGAAATATGAAATTTGTAAATGGTTTCTCGCCCACTGTGACAATGCGGAATGTTGCCACCAGGACTCTTTGTAGAAACTTACAATGTGAAAATAAGCATTTGATTCTTATGACAAATAATATACGGGACATCAGACGTTGTAGTTATTTAGTATAATAATAGGCACAGTAATATTCTAAATTCAGTTAAGGGAAATAGAACTACAGACATTAAAAAAAAAAAAAAATCAAGTGATTGGCATAAAATTATATCAAAAAAGATGTAAATCATTAAATTTGCTATATTATTAACCTTAAGCTCCATAGATCAGGCGAAGAAAAACTGTTTTCTGTCCACATCCATGTGATTTTGTTTCAGAGTCTCTAGCCTTGCAATTGAGAATATATATATCATCTTCTATATAATTCTTGAACCAATCTCAGTCCATCTCAAACTTGAAAACTAGAGAGATCACATCCCCGATACATCAGCCTATAAATTCTGAAACTTGTTTTATGAAATTCTGACGTGTGAGATGCCATGCACTAGCTAAATGAAAGCAAATGTCGATATTGAGATTAAATATGTAAAATAATGGTTATATGATGAACATCAAAATAGCAAACAAGATGACAGAGCAAACGTGGTAAAAAGGCATAAACATCTGAGACCCTGAAGTCTTTACTTCAAAGGAACTCGTAGACTAATCAGCTCTTCTATCTGTCTCACAATGCTTATTTAAGACCTGACTCAGAAAGGCTCTCTTGTTTTTGCAATAGATATTTCTATACCTATTTGAATTGTTCCTAACCCACCCATCTACTTCATAAGAGAGTTCTAGTCACTAAAATGTTGTCATTTCTGTCACGCTCGTAGATTTTATGATTACCTCATGTTCTCAAAATGTTAATATAAAAATAAAAAGTTAACTTTGATTAGCCAATGGCAACATAGAACACAATGTTTAGAGGATTTTATTTGTAATATATTCTGAAGAGAAAGTCTAAATTGAATAAGTCCATTGTTTGTGCAAGAAAGCCAAATCCGATTCATGCTTGGTAGTCCTTAAGTAAACTGTAAGATTGATTTCGTACAAGCAAATCACATCATAATGTGTAAAAATAAATGTTTCTAATTGCAATTTTTATAGATGAGATAATAGAAAGAAATATATTCGATTATGTAAACAAACTAATTGACCTTTCACTATAGAATTTAGATAAGTATATACTGAGCTGCATACACATTGAAGTTGCAAGATAGCAAACATTCTGAATTGTCCAGCTGATACACTACCTCCTCTCCTTACGAAAAGTAATTCGTGTCATCCAACCGCTGCCACCACTCAATCGGAACTTACAAGAGAGCCCGCTACTACAGCATATCATGATTGTGATAAGGCAAAGTATGGCTACATTCGTCAATATTTCTCTCTCATGTCTTTGAAACATAAAAAAATTAAATCTTATATAGCTAAGCTTCTCATTCTTATTTTCATGTCTTCTCTCTTGTCTCTTCAGTTCTCCTAACTTCTTCTGTATAACATCTCCCTTCGTTCGCCTTCTAATCTCTTTACTCTTTTCTCTCTCTTTTTCATCTTCTTCTCTCTTTTTCTAATCTCTTCTTTTCCTTTTTCTTCTTCTTCTTCTTCTTCTTCTTCTTTTTCTTCTTCTTCTTCTCCTCCTTCTCCTACTTCCTCTCCTCCTCCTCCTTCTCCTTCTTCTTCTTCTTCTCCTCCTCCTCCTCCTCCTCCTCCTCCTCCTCCTCCTACCTCTTCTCCTGCTTCTCCTCCTTCTTCTTCTCCTCCTTCTACATCTTCTTCTTCTTCTACATCTTTTCTTTCCTTTCCTTTCTTTCTCTTTCTTTTGCTTTCTTTTTCTCTTTCTTTCTTTCCTTTTCTCCTTCTTTCTTTCCTTTTTTCTTTTTTACTTTTCTCTAAACTTTTCTTTGTTTCCATTGCCTTAAAATAGTTAATATTTAAATGCATAACAATAATAATAATATTTAAATGCATGAAAACAATAAACTTTAAAAGTCTTACATTTATTTGATTATTTACTTGCAGATGTGGGAATGTGCTCTGACTGTGTGTAAAGAATTGGTCAAACAGTATGAGGAAGAAACCTTTGACTATCAACAGCTTGGTAATCTTCATAGACGTATGTCAGAATTTTATGATAAAATAATGAAACAGATTCGTCCAGAACCTGAATATTTTAGAGTTGCTTATTATGGCAGGGGTTTTCCTGCTTTCTTGCAAAACAAAGTATGTCATCTTATTTTCTTGCCTCTGATTTTGTGTTTAATGTAAAATTAATATTAAAAAAATTGTAATTAATTGGTGTCAATATTTTAGGTTTTTATATACAGAGGTAAGGAATATGAACGTCTGAGTGACTTCAGCAATAGAACATTAAATCAGTTGCCAAATGCAGAACTCATGAACAAATTGACTCCTCCTGGTGAAGAAATTTTGGAATCACCTCATCAATGTATCCTTTAGAACAATTTTCCAGGGGGTGGGGGAGTGTCAAAAAATTTAACCTCAAATTTCTTTGGTTTTAGGGCATTTTAAAAATATATATGGCAAGTAAGTCCATTATTTTACAAAAAGAATATAATAAAAAATTTGCATGTTGCAATATAATTATAGAAATAGAAACATTTATAAAGAAAAACATTCAATAATAACATATGAAATATACCTGCTCTACCGTGCCTACTCATTCAAATTCCAAGATTTTGCTTCTTGCTAGTGATAAAAAAGCAGATTTATCTGTTTCACATATATCAATATTCAAACTGTTGACTGATTTGCAACATCGAATTCTAACATTATTTGCTGTGTAAGATTCACGGTAAAATCTAATACCAAAAATATCTTTGGTTCTAGAATTAAAGTTGGGTGTTTTATACACTCTGGTTTTGCAAGATTTTGCAATCAACCTCACCCAATATCAGTTTTCTCAAAAACATCAAGTCGTTCAAGTCTCTCTGAGAACTCAGTGAAGGAATGTGCTATTGCAGAGCCAAGTCAATATACTCATGTTTTATATACAGATCTTCCAATCGCAAACCATAGGCTGACATTCTGAAAAATTTGTGTTGGACTGTTTCAATTTGTGATTTATATTTTGAAGAAAATGGAAACCAAACCACAGAAGAGTACATCAATATTGGCTTGACCAGCATAAGATAGAGTGATCTCAAGACCGCTACTGAGTGTAATTCATGGCAGAATCTTTTAATGAATCCCAAGACTTGATTTGATTTGACTATTGTGCGATGAAAATGATCCGTGCAAGTCATCCTGGAATTAAAAATCATGCCCAGATCTCTCAATGTACAGACTCTCTCTAGTGGAGTGAGATTCATCATATAATCAGGTTTCACTTGATCTACATCTTGAAAAAGTTATAGTTTTACATTTCGCGATATTGAGGAAAAGAACGTTCTTCATGCACCACGCATATAAAGCATTGAGGGTGTTTTGCATAAGGACTCTGTCTTCATCAGATTGGGTTTTTAAAAAAAATTTAAGGTCATCAGCAAAAAGCAGATGTTCCACATCCATTATTCTGTTGTATATGTCGTTAATAAAGATGTTAAATAAGAGAGGACCTAAGTATGACCCCTGAGGGACACCTGAAGATCTATAAGATCAGAAACAATACTCTTATATGAAACCATCTGAACTTGAGCCAGGTAACTGTGAAACCACTCTAGTAACGGTCCACTGACTCCCAACCACTCCAGTTTAACTAGCAAAATCTTGTGCTTAACTGAATTGAATGCCTTGCTATATACAATCAACTTGATTAAGATAATGGTGTTTTTTTCATGTTGAATGAATACTTTGCCTTGTGGAATTTGAAAAAAAAAAATCATTATCTTAAACATCCTTATATAGAGCTTTTGCATCTAAGAGTTAATGAAAGACCCTCTTTACGCTAACAAAATCAAGGATTGGGTTGACCTTTTTCGGCGTATTGAAAGTGTGGCAGCAGAAATAAAGATATAACCCAACAAAGTTATGCATGTCCCAGAGGTCATGTGACGCAGATGCTAATCTTGCATTCACGCAGAAGGCCATTTTGAACACTTGTAGAGCCCCTGTTATACAAGGTGAAAATGCAAAATTTTCACTGTTCATGAACATATGATGAACTATCCTAAATAAGACTTAAATAATAGTTTTTCCCTCTCATTCCATTTTCATTAGATAAGCAGGCAATAATACCAACAAGGAATAATATTTAATCTAAGATATTGGCTACCTTTTTTTGCAAAATATGATAAATGAAAAAAGCATTTTTCTTCTTTTTTTTTTTCTTCAGAATACTGAATAATGTTTACACTATTTCCTTGTGTACTCATGAATAACTTGTTGTACTCTTATCTCCGAGTCCTGTATGAGCAATGAGGACTGAATCACCTGGTATCATCTATCAAGTATATGTTTCAGACAGGAAAAATGTTCTACATTAACTCTTGATTACGTGCCGAGCCTCACTCCGATGTACATGTGCAAGCAGCTAAAAGCAATCAAAAACTGCCTTCATTCTCTGTCATACTATGCAAGGCAAAGTCTTTTCCGAAAAATTCAATGAATTTGAAACGGTGCACATGCCATTAAGCTTTGTGCCTGGATGCGAGGTCAAATGTGACTGTAGCATGGAGTATCATATTGGAAAGTTCAGTGAAGACAGACAAAATGGTTGCTATATACTACTACACATGCTGGGAGACCAATCAGGAGCTTAGAGCTTGTTCTAGTTGGGGTAGTGGGAGATACCTGGAGCTTGTCCTGGATGGTGGGAGATACCTGGTTGCAGAAAACCCTGCTAGCGACTATGTCGGCACCGGATCTCACCATACAGCGGGGAGAGAGAATATCGCCACCTCCCAAGCCAAAACATGCCCTACACTTATGGGATTAATGACCTTGGTAGTCGATGTGCCTGGAATCAATAAACAATCAATCTAACAAAATGGATAATGATCTGATTGGGAAGATAGACCTCGAACATAGTATGTGAGTGGCCCCGACCAAGGTCATGGACATTCTTCTTGGCAACACCACATATCCCTGCTCCAATAACTCAGAAATTTTAATTAGACAAAGGACATAATGAAAGGTATAGACACTCAGTTCATAAGGCAATAAAATGTAGAATTGATACATATTTAACAGCACTCGGGTTTCACAGACCATCCAAATGCATTGCTGAGTTATGTCATAAAAGTTGTTTTCTTAAATGAAACCGTTAAAAGAGACAAATTAATAAAGTCGATAATACAAAAATTATATTTTATGCAATAAAACTATGAATCTTGCAAATTCGTCCAGTAAAATTCCCAAATGTGCAATTTTCAGGCAGCAGTTCCCAAAATGTACAATATTGTGCACTAACCCACAAAACGTGTAAAATAATACAAGTACTAAATAATGTCCGTTTCATGATTTAAAGTTCTGTAAGGTTTCATATAATTTCAAGTTAGGAAAGAAAAGATGCAATTACATGGGAATCAAGTCAATTATAATTAAAATTTCAGTTTATGATTTCAATATAATAATAGAAAGGGAGAAAAAAGTGTTGTAATTCAAGCAAATTATCCTTAATTGGAATTTCTAGATGTACAAATTAACAAAGTTGATCCTGTTATGGATGATAAACGTCAGCGTTTATCAGGAAAACCTATAAATGACCAAATCTTGAAATATTACAGGTATGTTGATCATTTTATTAAATATCTTCTTTTAAAAAGTAATTGTTATCTCTTGTTAATAGCTTAGTTATTTACATTTACCACAATATCTAAAGCTTTGTTTCACTCATTAGCAAAAAGTTGTTATCATTGGTAATTGTCAACAATCTGGCTTTGTTATATAGATTAATAATGTGATACTGTTAAGTTATTATAAGTGTTATTCATATTGATGTACTGAGTGCATTAAAAGAATTATTAGTTATTATTGTTATAATGTAATGTAAATGACCTTTTGTGATGTCGAATGTAGTCAGTGCACTTACTCTGATTGATGTGTTTTTGTTATTTATGGTTTTTCAGAATTGCATATTTATTAAGATATTTACAAAGGTTTTTGTTTGTTTTTGTAGAGTAAATGATGTTCAGATATTCAGATTCTCAAGGCCATTTCACCAAAAGGATCCAACTATGCCTAATGATGCAGACAATGAATTTGCTAGTCTCTGGATAGAACGCACTGTTCTGGTCACATCATACTCTCTTCCTGGAATTCTTAGGTGGTTTCCTGTTACTTCTACTGAGAAACATTTATTGTCTCCTTTACATAATGCAATTGAAACAATGGAAGCAGCCAACAAGAGTTTGAGAGATCTGATTATAGCCCATCGCTCAGATCCATCCCTACAGCTAAATCCATTAACAATGAAACTTAATGGTATTGTGGATCCCGCAGTTATGGGTGGGATCAACAATTATGAGAAGGTATGCTCTTCTAATAAAAAAATTACTTGTGAGTTATCATTGTTTAAAAAAAGGTCTAAATTCTAAGTTTGAAAGCCAGATCATATTCAAAATAATATTTATAATTAATATGATTATATTGCTTTATGTATGCACTTTACAGGCATTTTTCTCAGAGGAGTATATAACCGCCCATCCTAATGATGAAATATTGATTCAAAAGCTTAAAGATCTTATTGCATCCCAAATTCCACTTTTGGAAGCAGGAGTCATTTTACATAGACAGCGTGCTCCATCTTCTCTTGGTCCTCTCCATGAACACATTGAAGAATCATTCAGCAAAATGAGAAGTGAAATTGAGGCAAAATATGGCAAGAAGGTAGGTTAAATATTTAACATCTGTAGTGAAAGAACGAAACCTCAATAAAATTAACGGGAAAAAAATAAGAAATCAAATTTATATGATGTTTTCTACTAACTTGAAACAGAAATTCAGAAGACACATTGACTTCACTTGTGTAATATCAAGGAAATTACAATACGATCATGATTATCCTTTAATTGGTATTTCAAATTTTGGCCACAAAATAATATCTTTGAGTCCATAGTGACCTGCATGTTAATTTTATTATTTTACATATTAGTTCTTACTTTATGAAACTAGATATGAAAAGACATCTAAAAACATCTTTTCTCAAAGATTGTAACTGAAAGACTGAATTAAATAAGTTTCATATTTCTATAGCATCCTACTTTTGATTTCCAATAAATCTGTATGGGTGGGAAGAAATCTTTATGAAAATGGGAAGTAATTTTCAAAGTACTAGTAATATTTTATTCATATTATATTTGGTAGTTAAGAGCTAACATTTGTTTAAGCATAATATAAAGAGATTGACACAAAATGCTGTTAAATCATAAAATTTCCAAGCATGCAAAAGTGGTAAATGAAATGTGTCTCAGCTGTTGTCTATTTATAATTTGGTAAGAGCATGCAACTATTTATATTTATCCAAGCATAAACAAGAGTTTCAATCAAGGTGTTCTTACATGCCCTTTCTTTAAAAATAAATTTAAAAAAACAAGACAATTATGTGTTTGCAAACATTTCACTAAACAACACATTCAACTTATTCAGAATGCTCTTCATATTCCATTTTTGGGGATACTAAAAGTGATGACTTTGATTTTACGTGCTAAAATGAAAAGACTGACATTGAAGTATTGTCATTCCCTAGTGTCCCAGATCCTACTTTGAGGACAAATTGTCTTCATCTCATGAGTTCTAAAATTTTACACATCACAAATTATAAAGAATAAAGATTATGTGTAGGGCCAGGGTAATTGATGCAAAATCATGGGATTTTTATCAAAAAGAAATTCCTTAAGGTCAAATATGACCTGATAATACTGGTTAAGGGATAAAATTTGAGAGAGAGAGAACTGCCTGAGTGAGTGTGTACATGTCTTGAGTTTTTGTTTTGTTGTTGTTTTCCATTCACATATATTCATATGGAATGCTTTTATCATAATTTGTTTCTTGATTTCAGACATCTGATTTGAAATTTGATTCGCCCTTTCCAGTAACTATGCGATACCATGGTCATTTGAATAACTCGCATTCCAATGTTGACCATAGATTGTCTGAAGCTAGTTTAACTTCATCAGAGTGAGTAAAATGTTATATCCATATGTGATTTTATAAAATTAAATTAACAAATTTGCATGAATGGGTTTTGTCTGGTGGTTGTGTAAGTACCTTATTAATAAAAGTTATTGTTCATAAAATGCCTTTGCCTCTATAGAATCACTGAATTGCAAGTTTTGTGTGTTGCTTCATTCTCACTGCTTCAAAAAATATTTTTATTGCAGAAGAATTTGCATTTCTTTTGCTGAAATCTTTTTTGAGTTGATGTGTATTATTTGCTTTTTACAGTGTGAATTCCAATCTTTACCAGTTCCTCCTTTTTATTATTGAAATACATTTTTATCTCAGGTTTACAGAGTAAACTTGAAATCTGTATATAAAACAAATACCAAATATTTCATAAATGTTGTATTGCTTGAATTGTACTTCCAAATGAAGTCTTCATTAAATCTTGTAAATCTTTTCTTTCACATGCTTTTGCAGCTTACATTGCACCATATAAAGCGTCCTTTCAATATTTGAAACGGCCTTTAATTTGAGGTATCTATTGATTTAATAATAGAATACTTTTTGTTTCAAATTAATTTACTGCATTTATTGTTTTATTTATTTATTTTATTGGTTGATTTAATTTAAATTTAGAGATAGACAAATGTTGTCTATTTCAGTCAGCAGAATTGTGGGTCCTTTCTTCATTAACATTTCTTTCATTCTTTCTGTGGGCTTGACTAGGGTTGTTTCTTCTGCTTTGTGTGTTGCATGGCTGCAGAGGCAGTAGGTCTCGTGTGTCAAGTTTAACCCGGTCACAAGTAGCAACTTTGAAAAATTTGGCTACATTCAACTTCCCAGCCATCAACTCTTCTGGTACTTTAGGAAGGTAAGGCCATTTTACTTGGATGCTGCATTATGCTTGGTTTGGTGAGGTCTTCTGTGGCTTGTTTTTTACATCTAGCAAATGTACTAGTTTGTTACATCCTCCTTAATGTGAAAAGTGACTTTCAATTTTTTCACAGTTTTACAAAAATGAATAGATTGCAATGCAGGTTTGTAGTCTTACTGTACTGTTGTCATTGTCTTGTTCCCAATTAATTTATCACATAATTGATTGTGGTTTCTGAATTATTTATAGTTCCTTGTTTATAAATAAAATTGCTTTAGAAAATTGTTATTGAAAAGGAAAGAAAAATGATATTACAGGAAATGTAAATATAATTTGCTGATAATACTATTTTTACAAAGCACAAATTTCATTTGCAGTACCTTGCAGTAGTTTTGTATGATGATGCGTCAAGACTTGTAACATGAGCAAATACTTGTAACTTGAGACATTTAATATGAGCAAATAAAATTATTATTATTATTATTATTATTATTATTGTTAAAATATTATTTTAAATGCAAGATAAACCATAGCCATCTCTTATTTCGGTACATTTTTTAATATAATCAAGAAATGTTCATAGGAAACTAGATCTGTACTGTCCGGAGGTTGTTGCATAAAGAACAAAATTAACTTCATTTTTTTTTACTCTGCATTTTTACTACTACTTTTACTAATAAATATATAAGGAAGATACTCCTAGTATAGAGAAAGTTATGTTCTGCTGCAAACAGTCATTGTAGATATTTTGACAGAAATGCAGAAACCCATTGGCCTATTCATCAGTTTGTGAATGACTGGCACCCAAACTGTAGATAGGATTTGCCCTAAAATGTATAATCCCTAATAAATCTGGCTAAATATTAGACTGTGAATTTTTAATGGATCTTTTCATTTTTGTACATTCTTTACCTGAATTTTCTCAAAACTGGCTCCAAATTTTGTCTCTCTTTTTTTCTTTTTAAATCTCTGAAATTTGAAAGTTTAATCATTTGCACAAATTCAACTCTTTTCATAATGTGATCTTCTCCTCTATGTTTGTACTTTATATGTTTTCATGTACAGTATTTTAAAAATAAAAGTGCTTTTTTAGTAAAATCATGACATTTCTCTGCATATATCTAAACAAGTTTTTAAAAAATGGTACCTTTTGTTTAAGCTTTTTCTATTAATGGTGCACATTGCACTAAATTATATGATATTAATGCCAATATGTTATTCATTAAATGTTTAATATGTTTGAAAATAGTTGTGTAATTTATAATGAACATTCCTAAGATTTCTAGTTGGAAGCTGCTGTTGAACTAAGGAAGTTGATGATTCATATTTCTGTGATCAATTATATCTTTCAAATGAAATGCATGGCATTTTCTTTCATATGGTCATCTTCTTTTCAACTAATTCATTAATGGAGTGATGAACTTTGTTTCCAGGAACCAGGTTCCCCCATCTTCTTTATCTTCAACTCAGTCACTCGCTGGCACTCTCCAATCTAATATAAAACTTAGCCCTCACAATATTTTTACTTTTCTTTATCACAACAATTAATAATGCTTTATGTTCTCACAATATACTTATGTATCTATCTTTGCTTCCTTTTTTTGAAGAAAGGGTTGATTTCATGTGTTACAAGTAGAAAATAAAATTATTTACTAAATTTTGACATTGTTTATCATACCAGAAGAAAAATGCTCAATTGTTACCTAAACTCAAATTGTATGCAAAATGTGAATTGTTAGCAGGTGAATTCATGGTGACTATTTCAAATTAACGATTTCATCTTTTCATGTATTTGTAATCTTTTCAGTTTGTCCTTTATCATTTGAAGAGTGAAAATGGCTTCCTTTGTGCTCCTTTTCTGAAGCCACATTGGTTCATCTCTTATGCACTACTCACTATTTTTTAACTCCTTGACTGCTCTAGATGAGGTGATATGCAAAATATTTTCATGCACAGTAGCCGCTGGCGAGTTATTGCACTTGGTCAGTTTGTCACTGGGAGCCTGAGGATGAGATCTTGAGAACCGCAATGTCCGGGGAGCCTCTGCCCGTTCTGCATCTGCAAGTTCATTCATGCAGACGTTCGTGCAGATGTGCTTTTGGCTATTGCTAACCTACTGATGACTGAGATGTCTTGTGCAGTGTCTTTGTGCGAGTGATCTCAGCTCATTACGGGCCCCCCAGCGAGAATCTTGACACAAGAGACGTGACTCACAGTCGGCTGGCCCGTAACAGTTAAAGGGTTAAATCTGTTTTAAATCATGTTGGCAAATATAATGTGGGGTTTGCCTAATTATTGCAGTATTCTTATTCCTTTTTTGTGTGTTTATAACCGTTTCTTGTGGCTAATCCCTGGGTGTATTATGTTATCTCTATATTTTATTGTATTGGTGTTCTATCAGGCTGTGTAATTTGGGTCTACCAAATTTAATTAGTCGTGTGTTTACCTCATCCATTCGTGTGTGTGTGTGTGTGGTTGTTTTTTTTCTCTCTCTCTCGTCTTTTTTTTTTTTTTTTTTTTTTAAATCAGCAGATCTTTCAATTCTAATAGATATCTCTGTCTATTAATTCAGGCTCGCTTTGCTTTACAAGGTTGTTTTGTCTTTCTTGTATGGTGGTTTCTATTTCTGTTCCTTTCCGTAGTTCAGGATAGTGATTAATCCATTCTTCCGGTATTCTTTGTCTGTGTATTTGCTCTCTATTTTCCATTTGAAGATTCCTACAGATATTTAATTTTAATGTAATAAGAGAAAAATTTGAGAAATTCTTAAAATCTTGCAAATAGTTAAAATAATAATTCTGAAAAAATTAAGTCTGAATGAAAGCTCAAAGGTGAAGATATTAAATGCAAAATTCAAGACTCATTCAAACTACAATCATTGTAAGGCAAGTTTGCAGCCTATCACCAATTCTTTTCAATTTCTGTTCCAATGACATGATCATAAAATGGAGAGAAAAAGTTAATCAGTTGAACAGAAAATGGTAAATCAAAACAGAATTGTATGCAGACAATCAAGCAATACTGACAGAAACAGAAAATGACCTTCAGAAAGCAGCGCATAAATTAAATATATTTCAGTTGAACATTGATAATTAAAACATCAAAAATCAGAACTGCCAATAATCTGAATGCTACAAGGTGAAAAATGTGTTTGTTAAAACAAGCTTTTGACATTGTTGTCCATAGTGCTGTTCTGACCACAGAATGCCCAACAATACTACATATATTGTATTGTAGTAATAATGTACAATTTTATTTTCTTGTTGCTTGTCCTTACTTGAGATTTCATTAGATTTGATATTTTTATTTCTACTTATTTAGATGGTTAAAATTCCCTTCAAAAGGTCTAAAAACGTGGTTGTTTAAAAATCTACATTACAATACATTACATACACAGTCACTACATATGGTCCCAATTAGTTCAGATTTTTTATGCTCTACTGTAGCTGAAGAATATGGAATGAAAATATGGGAAAGCTAGAGTATGTGACTTGGGGCAAGAGTAAAAATAGTGATAAAAGGGAAAATAATTGAACAAGTAAAGAAATTTAATTATCTGATGAACATAATTGAACAAGAACAAGAGGACTTGGAAAACAAAATCAAAAAATTCAACTGAATAAATCTGACCAAAAAAACAAATGTAACTGCATGGATCATAAGCCTAAACTATGAGAACTAGAGACCTACAAAGATTAGAAGTATATTAGATGAGGATTCTAAGACTCCCTGCTGGACTAACAAAATTTGGCAGATACATAAATAAAGATATTGTAAGAGGATTGAAGGAAAAGAACATACATGAAAATGTATCGAATAACAAGGAAAATGATTGAAAACAGAAAAAAATGAAAATAACAGACTGAGCTTCAACTAACGCTGAAATACAAACTACAAGCAGAAGAGAAGAAAGAAGACTGAAGAGGATTTAGAAACAACAGGAATAACCTAATTAAGTATCCAAAGAGTCCACTGAGCAGGGGACAGGGCACACACAACCCCTCCCTCTCATTGTCCTCACTCCCCTAAAATAAATAAATACATGTAGTCTACTTATATAATGATTATCTATTGGTTGTAAAGTTGTTCTTGATTTCTTCAGTTGCAATGTGGTAAAATTCTAGTTACATGTCAAATAAATGATAGAGAACAAAATTGTGTGGCAAGAATATAAGGTAAGAACTTCAGTTAGGGAATAATTGGAGCTCAAATTTTTATTTATTTTAAATTTCAAGTCCCTAATTCATGTTTTGACTAATTTATCAAGTTTTGATTAAAGTACATTACCACTGCTTTGCAATGTAAAAAGAAAAATTAAAGCTCCATTTCGTACATTTGGTGTTTTTTCCTTAATTTTTGCAGATTTTATTCAAACTTGTAGAGTTATTAAGTAAGTGTAGAGCAATTGTTATTATATCTGATTATTAAATGTTTGAAAGAGCTAAGAAAATAATCTAATTTATATTTAGTAAACATTGTTTTACTTTTGAATATTAGGGTGACAGTGAAATTTTGTGAATTCTTGCTTGATTAGGAGTGCATGTTGACTTATCTCCATAGGTTTGTTTTGGATTCAAAATGTGAACTGAATTGTATTTAGTGGGATTAGAATGTATAGTAGGAATTCTATTTTTATCATAGCTTCCTTAGCGAAATTGAAATCAACCCTAGACTCAAATTAAATTTGCAAATATTATAAGAATCTCTATTGTGTGTCATCTCTAATTTCTACTTATCCCTGATTTGTGTTTATTTTCACATGAATATTGTTAAAAATTTTCTGGATATAATTATTTTTGAGTTAGACAAGTTTTATTGCCTTTTTTTTTTTTTTTTTTTTTTTTTTTTTTTTTTTTTTTTTTTTTTTTTTTTTTTTTTTTTTTAATTTCATAAGTATTTTGGTGATTTTCTTACTTGTAAAATGCTGTCGTAATAATTTCTTTCCAAAAGAATACTATCCTTCCCTACATACCCTTCTTTCCGATTTCAAAATACCA